CGGGTTTGCTTGGCCAGATTCGAGCCGGAGTCGGTGGTGAATCGGCTCCCCTGCGGTCATCTGTTCCATCAGAGCTGCGTGGAGCGGTGGATCGAATACAGAAACAACACCTGTCCTCTCTGCCGCTCCCACCTTCTTCCTGCAGACAATTTAGGGCAGCAGAACTCAGTGTTTGTCAGTGGGGCGCGCCCTCAGCTGTAGGGATATTGTACAGGGGAAGGTGAGTTGGGTTTTAAGTGGGGCTTAGAGAAGGGTAATGGAGTGATGGCGCTGCTTATGTTATCCCTCGCTCTTCTTTTTCTTCTTCGCTGTGTATATTGGGATTGCTTTTGTGAATCTGTTGCTGATAATGCCTGAATCTGTTGTTTGTTTTCTCGATTTAGCCGAGTTTTAATTAATTGCTTGATTTTAAATAATTTTCTTTATAATCATTTACTTAAAATCTTAATTTCCTCTTATTTAAAATTAACTTCTATTATATCAAATTTTAGCAAAACCTTCCTATCTATGTAAAGTTCATTCTTCCTCTATTTCAAACAAAAAAGCCATACACAATTTCTTACGGGGAAGTAAATAATAATTTAAGTTTAAATACCAAAAACTAAATAGTAGATAAATAAGCAAATAAACTAACTTTAATTACATTAAAATGATAAACAAAAGAATATGATCAATTTTTGATAAAATAAATTTTATATCACAACAAAAAATGATACGTGGAAATGATTACTTTAAGAAGAAGATATGGAGAATAAATTATTTTAGAATGGGGCGTTAATTTCAAGATTTTTCAATGTTAAATCTTTGTTAATTACAAAACTTGCATTTTTATAATGTTGAGACCGCTCAGTGACAGATACTTTGGTGCTATCGTAAGACAAGAAACTCAATGAAAATCACAACAAGCACGGTTGTTGGTTGCCGAGAAATACCATGAGAGAATTCATTATCAACAGTAACTGAAGGTCTTAACAACAAGAAAGGTATTGTCCGAACAGAAAAGTTATTGCATCAGGACCGGGCATGTAGAATTACGTGTGGAGTTCAATGATATCACGCTATGTGGAGGTACAGTTCAAAGAATTAATGCAATATGGTCTATCATGTAATCCTCCATGTAATCATTATCATGCATTCATTTCAAGGAATGCATGATAATGATTACATGGATGATAATTTCTATCCTTCATGCAATATGGTCTATTAATAAAATAATAATATCATTCATTATCTCAATAATTTCATTCAAAATAGTGAAAATAAAATTATACAGCTAATCACATCTAATATAAGAGTAATCATAATTTGAGCTAACAATATTTGGATCTATGAAAAGATAGTTGATAATCAAACATATGATCCTAGGTAAAGTTAATTCCTCTTAATTTTATATTTTTGTCACAATTATTCATGTAAAGTCATTTTATTTTTTTTCATTAAAAATAGAATTGTAGCTATTTATGTAGCCTAATTAGCTCAATCCAAATCTATAAATAGGATGTCATGGTTGGAACTCAAGCTATTCAGCATAATATTCATGTTCTCTCTCTATAGTTCTTTCTCTCCCCTCTCAATTCTCTCTCTCTCTCTCTTCCGGAGTACTCCTTCAGTGCGATTCAGAGAGAATTGAGGCTTTTCAACATTTTCCACTGCCTAACACTGCCAAATTGTTAATAATCTAATAAAATAATTAAGGATAGAAATTAATGACTGCCGTGTTCTTCAGAAATTGGACAATATTTATTATAAATAGGACCACTGGTATATTTTTATAAATAAATAAGATTCCAAATGTTACGTGTAAAACAATCCAGTCTTATTTATTTATTCAAAATTTATTTCAATTAAATTGCTATGAATTAGCCACAGAAGCTATAAACTTCAATTTGATTTGCGACGCATAATTATTGATTTGCTTCAAGTCTATCAAACTTATCTCACTATCAAGTCAAATATGAACAAAATTCGAATGAAGGAACGAAGAACAGACAATTCCTAGAGAAATT